CTACATCAAATTACACGAACATTTTCGGAATAATAATTCCATCATCAGGTTTAAAATGCAAGTTAATATGCCTAAGCCACCAAAATATCAGGGTAAAACCCTTTAAAATACATACGGTTACAAAAGATTGTACATAATGTTGTTATTCATCTTTGACGTTTAATATTAAATTAAATTTAACTTTAGGTAACATACACCCATGTCTTAGGTGAGTTCCAGTGTCCGGAGAGTAAACCTCTTCAAAAGGACTTCAGCTGGTAACTCAGTTATATAATTTTTTGTATAATGCCCTAATACATAAATTACACTTAGATTTATATGCTTGCATTGGCATCTGTGCTCCATTCCACATCTACTGCACCCTGAACTGCTTCCAGATTTACCATTGAACTGGCTGCTTTAGGCCTTCCAATAAGTTGGATTCACTCTTCTGTCTTCCCACTGGGCTTTATTTACATATTTCTTACTGCAGTTTCCTTTCATTATGTAGTGTACCTCCTCTGACTTCATTTTTACAGATTGGATTTTCGAGCTTTCTATATTTTTACATAGATTGATTGCTCATCAAGCTCATCTCATCTTCTTCTAACAGTCTCTGTCTCATAGTTTCATCTGCTACCCCACATGTTAAGCAAGTCTTAATCAGACTGTCCTCTAGATTCTCTAACTCACAATTTTTGCCTTGTTTATAATATCTGTTACAAATTTGTCTATTGACTCACCTTCATATTGTTTTCTGGTAAAAAGGCAATACCTTGCGTTTGATACATTGCTTTTGGGTTTGAGATGTGTTTCAAATTTTGTGATAAACGGTTCTAACTTATCTTTTTCTTCTGCTAAGAACTTAAACGTATTATGGATTTTTAACCCTTCATCCCCTATTAATTCTAACAGTTGTGCGCATTGGGTTATTTCAGGTTTTTTTGTTAATTATTCTGTTGCTTAAAGGTAGTTTTTAAATCTTTGTATGAAGAATTTATATTTTCATTTTTATACTCTTCTTAAGTTTTAAAGTATTCGGTTTTCGGCACCATGTGATGACACGTGGTCGGGCTTATAGGATAGGTTAACTCTGGAGAGTCGAGGTTAGATTATAATGAAATAACTTGTATCTATCGTGTCTAGATTCAAAATGGTCTTATTTCCTCTTCCTTGTACCTGTCCGTCACGTCACTCTTACAATGTTACCAGCCTAAGTGCGTTCCGAATATTTACTTCTTTACATACATCACAGCAAGTAATTCTCTACGTAGCTACTTCACCAAACTAAAGCCTCTTTTTTTATTTTTAACCGTTATTAATTCATTTTATATATTTTATATATTATATTTCATAATAAAATCCCTATACTTACACACAGAGAGAACATGTTATATCTGGTTAGATCATTCTTTTAGCAATCCCCTGGCTTGTTTTAAGAATACAGTTATTTCTATTTTCTGAACATAAAAAATATATCATACCTAAAATAAAGATGATTAAGAGTTTTTTAAAAAGAAATATTAATATTCATTAAAGTTTTATTCCCGGAAAAAAGTATCACCAATGTACTCAAAATGTTCCGCTACCCCAGATAAAAAAATAGCGAAATTGGTCATTATTTAATGGAAATGTCATACATTTTTTCCGAGCGTTGGGGATTTGAAGTTCTCAATTTTTTGCACCACCGAGCCAATTTGGCTACTCAAAAAAACTTTACCTACTTATAATTTTTGCCTGTAAATAGCGGTTTTTTTAATAGCAATTATATCCTCATAAAACATAGGCCTTTAACTATTAAATGTCGCAGATTTTAAATCTTAATTGGTATAAATAATAGAGCTGTAACTTTTTAAACAAATTAAGCTAACTCCACTTCTATTGGTAGTAGAAAACTTATTTTTAAATCTTTGTCTTGACTTCAGCAATAAGAATCAATAGGTTAAAAATGTGTGTAATGTATAGGAAGAGTTCTAGCTTAAATAATTTGTAATGCAAAAATTTCCCCTACTCCAAAAGAATAAATAGGGGCTGGAACATTTTTTTAATCAGTTGTTTCTACATCTACATTAAATATTTAAACGACCAAGAAGAGAATTCCTTTAGAATTAGATCTTTATCTTTTTTATAAAAAACAGTTCTGGCCCTACAAAATTTATAATTTTTTAAGAATTTTTATAAACAATTTAAGACTGATCGGATCTTACAAAGTGTCATTTAATTTATAATTAAAGGAGCTAAAATATCATGATGTTTGACTGACATTTTTGAACCTTCAATCATTAATGATTTTGATTTTTTCATCAAAAAGAAATTGACCAAAGTTTTTTCAAAAACTAAAAATATAGAGAAAAATGGACATTTTTGAACCTTCAATCATTAATTTTGCATAAACTATTGCGTCAAATTTAATAAAGCATAGCTCAAATTACACCTTTTTTATTTACTTTCATAATCTTGTATTCATTTGACCCAAAAATATGAATTTAATACAATAAAAAATAAACATAATCAAAAACACAATTTTTGCACCTTGAAAATGCAATAAATTGTTATAACTAACAGTTTGGAGTTTTTTTTAATTGCCTTATTGCCAGATTCTAGTAAGACCCTAAGAAGGTATCCATTAAAAAAATACACAATCCCTCAACTAATCATCCAGGGAAAGATTGAATGCAAGAGAGAAGTAGGTCGCAAAAAAATGTCGCAAACTGGCGATCTTTTGCATGTCGCAAAAGATAGACGTCTGGCCTTAAGATAATTCGCCAACGCACTATAAGAAGAAGAAGAAGGTAATTTATTATACAAACCAACGCATGTTGGGTAAGGACCCTTGCCCGCAACAGTCAAATGATGAGCAGGGGTCACCAAATCATTTCTGTAACGAAAATTGTAGGCACTCATTAAGAAAACATCATTTCTGCAAATAAAATTACATCTATGTGACTTTACATAAACAACACAACTGAAAATATACAGCGAAATTACAGTTAAAATATTTAATTGTTTAAAAACTGGTCTACAGGAATCCAAGCGCCTTCTAAACGTCATTGTACGAATAATATTTTTTTTTTGAAGAACAAGCACCTCATTAATTCGCGAGCAATTTCCCCAACAAACTAAGAAATATTGCAAAATTGACTGTACATGAGCAAATAGTAAAGTTTTAAGATATCTAGGGAGAGAAAATTCCTAAGTTGCCGTAGAACATAACAGTGTACAGACAAATCTTCCCAGTACATTATCAACGTGAGAACTCCAAGACAAATTAGAATCCAGGTAAACACCTAACAATTTAGTGGAGTGGCTTTTTACCACAGACCCATTGTCAAGCTTTACTAATGGACTCATCTGCATAGTAGAAGGTGAAAAGGTTACCATATTGGTGTTTGATCCATTTAAGGTTAGGGCATTATTTAAACTGTAATGAAACATACTTTTACAAGACAGTTTGCTTTTTGTACTACATGACAAAAATTATTGGAATTTAGTGCAACTGTGGTATCGTCAGCAAATTGAGTGACGTAACAGCCTGATTGCTGTTCCAAGTTTTCTCCTCGAACGCTTAGTGCATCAGAAAAATTATCTAATGGATTCCGAACCAAACATATTGAGCTATCGTTTATCAGTTGATTTAAATCATTGACGAAAATCAAAAATAAAAGAGGGCCAATGATACTTTCCTGTGGAACTCCGGAGAGGACACTTTCTTCTGAAGAAAATATTATATTTCCATTCACATTAACCTTAATTTTTTGAAACCTTTTCGATAAAAAGGTTTGGATCCACAGATAACTGTATTACCCTTATCAAAGTTCGATAAAATATGATTGCACAGCTTTAGTAGTGCATCTTGCACACTTATACCTTCACGGAAACCAAATTGAGACTTTTCTATAATATTGTGCCTTTTAATATACGAGAGGAGACGTGTATGAAATGCCTTCTCATATATTTTTGAAAATACAGATAAAAGTGATAGGCCTCGATAGTTATCAAATTTTGATTTGTCACCTTTTTTATGTATAGGCACAACTAAAGCAGTATTTAGAATTTGAGGAAAAATCCCTTCCTGAAATGACAGGTTTACTAGAAATGTTAATTGTTTTTATATGTTATGAGATACATGTGATAACATAGAATACGGGATCTCATCCAGTCCCTTTATAGCAGAAAGAGGACCCCTTTCACTATTGGATTTGCTTGAGAGTGTGATGTGTGAATTTGTATTTATTGTGAATGTGTGCGTGTTCTCTAGTAACCATTCTTCCTGCAGCCGTTTATGCGTTTGCGATCAACCTTAAAACTAGTGTATTGCACTAAAATTTTGTTATTAATCGCTCTCACTAACAGCCAGGCCTCGTCGGGGTTTGATAGGGGTTCCAGCAGGTGCCGATTTAAGGTGGGAAATAGTTGCGGCTATTTTCTCAGGACGGACAGGTAACGTTTGATTTGAGAAATCGCCTTCAATTCACGCGGAAAGTCCAGCCCCTCCTACTCTGTAACAATGGAACTGTAAACACAGCATGGTTTTTAAACAGTTCGAATCTACTCACCAAAGTGATAGGATGCTGCCCCGTGAGACGACGCTTGCATCTAGTACGCAAACTAAAAATATAGTTTCTTCAGCACGTTCGTGTTTAAAGAAGGTAACTTAAAATATTTCTAAAACATGATATTATAATTATTATTGTATCGTCAATAAATCTTTATGTTTTCACAATATCGATGGACTTCCGCTTTTTCCAGAAGTAAATTTTGAAACATCTTCATTTTTTTGTCCAATTATGAAAGCGAAAATCAAAAGGAAACATACTTAAAAAGGTTGCAAACTTTTTGATCTTCAGACGGTTTGGCACGGGAAATGAAATATTTGACATTTAATCATCAGGACATCAGGTCATCAGGACAGGAATAAGGACAGTGACCAAGATAAGAATTAATATTGCCCCACACCACAATCATATTCTAGCGATAGCGAAAATTATGACGAAATTAAAATTAAATCAAAGAATAGAAAATTGAATACCAAGAAAGAGCCTGTTCAGGAGTCATGTCAGGTAAGTAAGGGTTTTGAGTAACGTGGTTTAGGACATTAAAATGATATATAGGCACAATGAAAATTAAATTAAATAATTTTTAAGGTTGAGAACAATAATGTTACGGCTGAATCACCCAATGTCCTTCTGCAAAGTAAAGAAGATACTACTTGGTTGGTAAATTTCTGGTTTATTTTAATGAACTAAATTTACTTTGTATTGTTTTAGGTTAATAGTACTGAGACAGAAATAATCAACGAAGTTAATCGCACAACACAAACAAGGAAGAATAAAAATAGACCAAGAGGAAAAGAAAAAAATGAAAGGGATAAGGAAAAACATCCTATGAGAGCCGTGTATGAAGGTAAATGTGATAGCATGTGCAAAAAAATAATAGAAGAACAATCGGAACAATATCTGGATGGAGTACTGTAATTTAGTGTACATGAGTAGATGAAAGTGGTTGTACAAAACAAATAGAGCTGGTTTCTGTTAAACATAGAACCCAGTCAGCAAAACGTAAGAGGTGTGAATCAAGGCGTTACACTTTACCGCTAGAACATTCTACTGACGTGATTATGCAGACACTTTTTTGAATACTTTAGGGATACCAAAGATTCTGTAATAATCAAATTAGTAGTAGTAATTACAACCTTGTGTAGATCAGATCAAGGAACGTAGAGGTGGCTGTCGTAAGCAAGCCAATTGAGAAAACTAAAAGACCGTATTGAGTCGTTTAAGCCATTAGTGAGTCATTATCATAGGAAAAATGCCCCTAATGTTAGGTATTTACCGAGAGATTTGACATATAGGAAAATTGTTGATGATTTTGTATTAAAACATCCCTCTGTTTGTAAAATCAAAGTATATCGTCAAGTTTTAAAAGGAAATTAATATTTCACTTTGCCAACCCAAATCGGATATCTGTGAAAAGTACAAAATGTTAAAGAACAAATTGGAAAATAAAGAAGACGATAAAATCCAAGATCAGCTAAATTCTCACCGTACTAAAGCAGAAAAGGCAAATCTAAACTATAAAAAAGACTCTACCGAAATAGCAAGTTCGACAAAACGTATATACTCTATGACAAAAAGTGATTATTTTGCCTATTATGCATCAAAGTAAAAATGCAATTTTTACTATAATAGCCGAATTGTTGTATTTAAGCCATCGAGCAAAAAGACAAAAAAGGGAATCTAATCGTTATGAAAAGGAGACCGAAAAAGTGGCCTCTGATGGCGGACATATCCGATAATGCGAATGCGCCAAATTAAAATTTTCCGGACACTTTAATAACAGTAGTTATAAAATAGTTTTCAGAATGTGTCCTTAGACGAGAAACTTTAAATAAATATTAACAATAACAGTCTAAAATGTGACAAAATTGTTAAAAAACTTCAATATAAATAAGACTTCATGTGACAGTTAAGACAAACAATAACATAACCCAACTAAATTTGATTTAGGTAAAGAAATAATAATAAGACTTACTCACAATCAATTTAATTTAACAATCCGACGACCGGTTTCGCTTTCTACAATTTACAAAGCATCTTCAGGTCTAGATACAAAGTTAAACTAATGCTGCAATAAAATAAACCAATTAGGGTGGTTGTCTAAAAAAGATAAAAAAAACAAATAAGTTAGTTCATACAAATTGTAGTAATTATGCCAATATTACATGTCTGTGGTTTTCCAAAATGAATAAATTTGAATATATAAAAGGTATTAACAGACAAGGTAAGACCCACATGTGTGGTGTAATAAAATAAACCCAATTAGGGTGGTGTCTAATAAAGATAAAATAAACAAATAAGTTAGTTCATACAAATTATAGTAATTATGCCAATATTACATGTCTGTGGTTTTCAAAATGAATAATTTGAATATATAAAAGGTATTAACAGACAAGGTAAGACCCACATGTGTGGTGTGGGTCTTACCTTGTCTGTTAATACCTTTTATATATTCAAATTTATTCATTTTGAAAACCACAGACATGTAATATTGGCATAATTACTATAATTTGTATGAACTAACATATTTGTTTATTTTATCTTTATTAGACACCACCCTAATTGGGTTTATTTTATTGCAGCATTAGTTTAACTTTGTATCTAGACCTGAAGATGCTTTGCAAATTGTATGAAAGCGAAACCGGTCGTCGGATTGTTTAAATTAAATTGATTGTGAGTAAGTCTTATTATTATTTCTCTTTACCTATTTGATATGGACTCACACAAGCAACACATTCATGATTTAAATTTGATTTCTTAAACAAGGAAAGACTCTCTTTCCTTGTTTAAAGTGGCCTCTCAAGACGGCACTTCCTGTCTAACAATATTTTTGCCCCCACTACCTTTACATTCCCTCTTTTGTCTTTTTGCTCGATGATTTAAGCTTACGTTTGCTACTTTAAATAAACAATCTAAAAATAACAGTTTCTGTGTACTCTGGCACGAAGCTTTTGGTGGACGTAAGGCTAAGTCGATTGTTGACGCTTTATTTGAAGTACTAAGAAAAGAAAGAGATGTCTCTCATCGTCTATTTTGGGCAGATAACTGTACATCCAATAATAAAAATTGGGTTCTACATACTTCCTTGATAACTGAGGTCGATTATTTTTCTGGACCACAGTGATTATATAATCACTGTGGTCCAGAATAAATTGTTAAGTATTGTTTTTCATATGAAAAGTTTCATAATTGGAACCAACAGGAAAAGATGTGGTAACATTAGATGGAAATAGCACGGATGCGCAACAGATAAGTAGAGAATGACATAAATATCACGTGAAAATGAAAGTCAAATTTGTCAGAATTAAACTAAATTGAATCGAATCTTAACGTGCAACTTTCTGGTTCCTAGAGGCATTATACACAGTTCTAGGCTCTTATTTTTTGGAACATTGAGAAAGCAGTATACACTTCTGGCTTGCCTATGGTACTGGCAATTAGGTGTAGAATCTGCGTAAGTCAAAATTTGTGATAATTTAATAAAGGTATTTTTGTGTTATCTAAAAAAAAAGTAGAGAAGTGAGACAGGGCTGTGTACTTTCACCATTACTATTTAATATTAATTCCGAAGATTTATTTACGCAAGCACTTGAAAATTTGTACAGAAGGGATCAAGACAAATGGTGAAAATATAAATAACATCCGTTATGCTGACGATACAGTTATTATCGCTGAAAGTGGGACAGACCTGCAGACTTTACTAAACACAATTTGTGATACCGGGGAATAGTTTGGGGTTGAGTTTACCGAAAGTACAAGCTGATTATAGCCGCAAACCTGAAACATGGAACAAAAATTTTTGTTTAGCAGTGTTGGCATGTTTTTATAATGTATATGCTGTATGCTTCAAATATAAAGAGATAAGCTTTACAAAAGTACATTTTATTTTGATTATATTTGTTATGAATTCTGCAAGTTTTGATTTTTATAAAACAATAATGAATACATAATTGTTTCTTTGGATATTAATTGCAGTTAACTATTAGACATTTTTTTTATTGACAATTGACCTTGATAGTTTAGGGATAGATTTAGCAATCGTCAAATCAGCAGTTGCCAGATTGCAACGAATACAGCCGATTTGCGCTCGACCGTTTTGTTACCTGAAATCGACCGGATTGCACTTTGCAATTTTCATAATAGTAATATCTAACTACTATAGTTT